TTATATATATATATGTATATATATATATATATATTATATAAATAAATAAATAAATATATATAACAGCGTGAGTTTTTTGCACTCAATTCCTGCCTTGATAAGAGCTTTGATGACAGCGTCAATGGAGATTAGATCAAGCGTTGAAATTGACCACCGCGGACTAAACAATGATTACCTGGGGGGTCAACATTGAAGAATATAAGAATCAATAAGAATATAAGAAATCGTTTGTCCTACTTTCCACTTTTATCAAAGTGGTTTGCCCTGTTTTGACCTACTTGAGGGGTTTTGTTCAGGCACGTTTTGTCCGGGGGTTTTCGTGTTTATGGGTTTTGTCCGAACTCCCCATGTCTTCGAGTTGACGCGGCTTACGTAGATGTGTTTCAATTTAGCAAACTGAAAATCCATAAACCATAAAACGGCCTTTCTTTAAGTCACCCGCACACGGTGCGCGTTTAGCTCAGCGTCGTTTGCGCGCGCCGAATGCGCACAGTGTGCAGGGGCCTTTACACGTGGGTTTGTTACCTCAGCGCGTGCGTGGCAATCGGTTAATCCCCGCGACTGGTGATTCCCCCGTAACGGTTATTCCCCGCGGAAACAAAATAGGGGAATTACGAGTCGCGGTTTTCAGGGTATCAATGAACAAATTTGGCAACTGTATCACGTGTACACTCAAAAAAATAAAGTGTCAGAATTGAATCGTAAAGTGTCAATTGTCTACACTATAAAGAGTTCAGTTAGCGACAGCACCTTAAGTGTAAATTTCAAGTGTTAGAATATTTTACACCAAGAAGTGTTAGTAATATTAACACCTCGTTGGTAAATATTAACTCGTTTTGGACTAAAACGAGTTAGTACTGTAGTGTTAAATGTAAACACCGACTTTACACGGGTACGGCAGTCCCACACACACAAGTACAAACAGTCAACCTATCCCTATCCCTATCCTAACCTAACCTAACCTATCCTCATCCCTAACCTAACCTAACCTAACCCTAACACTAACTATAAACCGACTCGGCTATCTTATATACCCATTGTCATAGTACCCAATTAATCTATGGTGTATAACCTTTTGCTTTCAATATTTTGCATCTGAACTAACAATCAATCCCAACCAACTGGTGTAGGCTAGCTGGCACAATAATGTTCATTTTTATACTTCAAATCCGAGTGTTTTCTAGCTCATCAAGAAATCTTAATCGTGAATGAAATCGTAAAAGTGAGAGCAGGGAATGGAGCTCTTATAAGAGATTGGGGAGCTCAGCTTGACACATATATAGTGTAAAGTTTTTTGACACGAAAGAAAGTGTTACTGTTTTAACACTTTATGATTACATACCTCACACCTGTATTACTTGGAGTGACGCTTCAAGTGTTATATATATAATGTGACACTCGATAAGTGTAACTAGTTTTACACTTTAGTTTTTTGAGTGTAGATATACGGGATGTCTCACGCACGTAACCGGTTAAAACATTAGGAAGTGTCGGAATATTTACGATATACAAGGTACAAAGTATAGGGTACAAAGGGTACAATGTAACCGTAACTTAATAATAAACGCAATGAATGCCATAATATAGTCATAAAACTATGCTTAGTAGAAACTAGTCCTAGTCAGTATACTCACCGCTTCGCACTTCGCACAACTCTCAATCGCTTTTCCAATATTCGCTTAATTAACATTATATACCATAGAGTAAACATCGATTTTTCTGCGGGGAATAACCGTTACGGGGGGGGAATCACCGGTCGCGGGGATTAACCGATTGCCACGCATGCGCCGAGGTAACAAAAACAAGCTGAGCTAAACGCGCGCACCGTGTGCGGGGGACTTAGACAAAGGCCGTTTTATGGTTTATGGATTTTCAGTTTGCTAAATTGAAACACATCTACGTAAGCCGCATCAACTCGAA